TATACTGCTTTCTACAATGGTCGAACTAGTTTACATTCCCACCAGCAGTGTAGGCGGGGTCCCCTTTCTTCGCATCCTCACCAGCATTTGTTGTTCGTAGTCTTTTTGATATTGGCCATCCTAACTGGTATGAGGTGATATCTCCTTGTGGTTTTAATTTGCATTTCCCTGATAATTAGAGATGTGGAGCATCTTTTCATGTGCCTGTTGGCCATCTGAATTTCCTTTGGAGAAGTGTCTGTTCAGATCCTCTGCCCAGTTTTTAATTGGATTATTTGACTCTTGGGTGTTGAGGCGTGTGAGTTCTTTATATGTTTTGGATGTTAACCCCTTGTTGGATATGTCATTTACAAATATATTCTCCCATACTGTAGGATCCCTTTTTGTTCTACAGATGGTGTCCTTTGCTGTACAGAAGCTTTTTAGCTTGATGTAGTCCCATTTGTTCATTTTTGCTTTTGTTTCCCTTGCCTGAGGAGTTGTATTCAGGAAAAAGTTGCTCATGTTTATATTCAAGAGATTTTTGCCTATGTTTTCTTTAAGAGTTTTATGGTTTCATGACTAACATTCAGGTCTTTGATCCATTTCAAGATTACTTTTGTGTATGGGGTTAGACATAATCCAGTTTCATTCTCTTGCATGTAGCTGTCCAGTTTTGCCAACACCAGTTGTTGAAGAGGCTGTCATTTCCCCATTGTATATCCATGGCTCATTTATCATATATTAATTGACCATATATGCTTGGGTTTATATCTGGGCTCTCTAGTCTGTTCCATTGGTCTATGGGTCTGTTCTTGTGCCAGTACCAAATTGTCTTGATTACTGTGGCTTTGTAGTAGAGCTTGAAGTTGGGGAGCATAACTCCCCCAGCTTTATTCTTCCTTCTCAGAATTGCTTTGTCTCTTTGGGGTCTTTTGTGGTTCCATATGAATTTTAGAACTATTTGCTCTAGTTTGTTGAAGAATGCCATTGGTATTTTGATAGGAATTGCATTGAATCTATAGAATCTTTTAGGCAGGATGGTCATTTTGACAATATTAATTCTTCCTACCCATGAGCATGGGATGTATTTCCATTTTTTGGTGTCTTCTTTCGTTTCTCTTATGAGTATCTTGTAGTTTTCAGGATATAGGTCTTTCACTTCATTTGTTAGGTTTATTCCTAGGTATTTTATTCTGACTCTAATTCTGAAAGAAGTTCTACTGTGGGTCAAATGCTATCAAACAGCATTGCATGCTAGAGAGAAATCATTTGTGAAGGAAAGAATTGATTAGTGTGGTAAACTTCATCACTGTCTTACTTTAAGACATTTTCACAGCCACCCAAACCATCAGCAACCACTACTCTGATCAGTCTGCAGCCATCAACATGGAGGCAGGACCCTCCACCAGCAAAAAGACTACAACTTGCTGAAAGCTCAAATGATGGTTAGCATTTTTTAACAATAAAGTATTTTTTATTTTTATTTATTCAATTATTTTCATTTTGGTATCATTAATATGCGATTACATGAGCAACAATGTGGTTACTAGATTCCCCCAATTATCAAGTCCCCACCACACACTGCATTACAGTCACTGTCCATCAGCATAGTAAGATGCTGTAGAATCACTACCTGTCTTCTCTGTGCTATGCTGCCTTCCCTGTACCCCCCGCTACATTATGCGTGCTAATTGTAATGCCCCTTATTCTCCTTCTCCCTTCCTTCCCACCCACCCACCCTACTCCCTTTCCCTTTGGCAACTGTTAGTCCATTCTTGGGTTCTATGATTCTGCTGCTGTTTTGTTCCTTCAGTTTTTGCTTTGTTCTAATGCTCTACAGATGAGTGAAATCATTTGATACTTGTCTTTCTCTGCCTGGCTTATTTCACTGAGCATAATACCCTCTAGCTCCATCCATGTTGTTGCAAATGGTAAGATTTGTTTTCTTCTTATGGCGGAATATTATACCATTGTGTATATGTAGCATATCTTCTTTATCCATTCATCTACTGGACACTTAGGTTGCTTCCATTTCTTGGCTATTGTAAATAGTGCTGCAATAAACATAGGGGTGCATAAGTCTTTTTGAAACTGGGCTCCTGCATTCTTGGGGTAAATTCCTAAGAGTGGAATTCCGGAGTCAAATGGTATTTCTATTTCTAGTTTTTTGAGGAACCTCCATACTGCTTTCCACAATGGTTGAAGTAATTTACATTCCCACCAGCAGTGTAGGAGGGTTCCCCTTTCCCAACATCCTCGCCAACATTTGTTGTTGTCTGTCTTTTGGATGTTGGCCATCCTTACTGGTGTGAGGTGATATCTCATTGTGGTTTTAATTTGCATTTCTCTGATGACTAGCGATGTGGAGCAACTTTTCATGTGCCTGTTGGCCATCTGAATTTCTTCTTTGGAGAAGTGTCTGTTCAGATCCTCTGCCCATTTTTTAATTGGGTTATGTGCTTTTTGTTTGTTGAGGTGCATGAGCTCTTTGTATGTTTTGGATGTCAACCCCTTATCAGATATGTCATTTATGAATATATTCTCCCATACTGTAGGATGCCTTTTTGTTCTACTGATGGTGTCCTTTGCTGTACAGAAGCTTTTTAGCATGATGTAGTCCCATTTGTTCATTTTTTATTTTGTTTCCCTTGCCTGAGGAAATGTATTCAGGAAAAAGTTGCTCATGTTTATATTCAAGAGATTTTTGCCTATGTTATCTCCTAGGAGTTTATGGTTTTATGACTTACATTCAGGTCTTTGATCCATTTTGAGTTTACTTTTGTGTATGGGGTTAGACACAATAAAGTATTTTTAAATTAAGGTATGCACATTATTTTTTTAGACTTACTGCTATTGCACACTTAATAGACCACATTATAGTGTGAACATAAGTCTTATAGGTACTGGGAAACCAGAAGATTCCTTTGATTCACTTTATTGGGATACTTGCTTTACTGTGGTGGTCTTGATCCAAACTCACAAGGTCCCCAAGGTAGGTCTGTACTTGACAATGAAATCCAGCCAATCAAAAAAATAAACCAATATAAAGCACTCTAAAAGGGGTAAACTGTGATAAGCACTGCAGTACATCAATGTGCATTAAATCCATGTAAATACAAAATGAAGGCAAAACTGTGGTAACAGAACTGAAATGTAAACATTATAAACTCTGAGTGAGAACAAAATATAAACAACAAAAATCATGAGGTGGGGGCACGGGGAGGGAGAAACACAGGAAGTTTCCCAGCAGGGCCAGCACACACTGTCTGTAATTGAGACAGCTTTCAAAAACACTGTAATTTCTCTAACTCTTAATGGCTTTCTTAATCTCTTCTCTTGTCTCAAGGTCCCTGTTGGTATCTAATATCTCTTGTGGTAAGGAAATATTTATCCAAAGCTTGAAAATATCTTCAACTTCACTTGAGGACAGCACTGTCAGCAAGGACTTGGGGTCTAAGCTGGCTCCAGGACTTAGTGGCAGGGGAGCCCTGGGCAAGTCATCACACCACTTGGTGCCTCAGTTTCCTCAACTTGAAAATGGGACGCTAATTATGCCTAACTCATGGTGCTGCTGGGAAGACTGCCGAGAGACGGCCTGCAAGGTGCTCCCAAGGCGCCTGGCACAGACGCAGCCCCACAAAAGCGTTAATGATGAGGGTGGTGAAGACGCTTCCTTTACTTGTGCTAAATTCAAAGAAATTTAAATGAAATATGTTTTACTTGTGTAATTCTCTTCTTATAAAATAATTTCTATCTATGTGTCCACCCACCTACCCACCGATGCAGCCACCCTTCTACATCTATGAATAAAGACAGGCCTAGAATTATGTTCACCAAATGTTGCCTTTGATGATTTCTGGGTGATGGAGTTTGAGTAATTTATTACTCTCTTCTTTGGACTTTTCAGAATTGCCTACATTCTTTGTAATGGTCATATATTTTGTAACAGTAATGTTTTAATGAAAACAATAAATTAATTAACAAGAAGAGAAAATGAATTTTACCAATTTACCAACAGGATATTAGAGTGGTCACTCTTCCAATAGCCTGATCAACATTGGCTTTTGTTAATTTTTTCCTCATTGCCATTTTTCCACTGATATGTTAGGAACAATTATTACTTATCTGTCACTTATGTGGCACATACTTAGACAAGTTTATCATTTATTTACACAAAGTTTTATTGTGCAAAAGCTTTTCAATTTAATGTACTCAAATTTATCAGTCTTTTTACTTTATGGTTTTTGTGCTTTACTTCATGCTTCAGAGATAGTCTCAATTTAAAGATTTAAAATTTTTCATCCACATCATTTATTTTTAAATTTAAATACTTGTTCTATACAGAATTCATTTTTGTGTGAAGAATGGTACAAGCTTTCCCCTGACCAAATGGCTAGCTAGTAAATTACCCCTGTAATAATCACTGAATAATCTGCTTTCCATTCCCTCCACATTTATTGAAATGCCTTATATCAAATGCTAAATTCACATATAAAGACTGGGCCATTATCCAACTATCATTTTAAATCAGTTTTAATGTTGGATTGCCACAACAATTCCATGCTGTCTTAATTATTATACTTAAAAAAATATTTTATATGTGATAAAATAAGCCCTCTAATATAACTTTTCAAAAGAAAAAAATATATACATCTCCATCCAGATGCAGGGGATCATGCATTAATATCGAACATTCCAGTCCAGAAACTAGAAGAGACCTCTCCATTTAGTCAGCTTTTCCTTTGCTTTACTCAATAAAGTTGTATCATATCTTTACATGTATCATTAATATTTTTTATTAGATTTAGTGTGTGACTAGCAAAAGCAAGTATTTAAGAATCAACCCCTCATCGCCACTATTATCAATGTAGTATTGTTATTAGGAGATGGACAGGGTCTTAAAGTTTGGGGAGGTAATCAAAACAAACTTTAGAAGTTCTAGACCTACTGATTTCCCACAGTTGTCAGTTTCCTCTGTTCACACTTTAGATAACTGTGCATTGGGAAAACATTCTTACCTCATGGCAAAAGGCCCTCTCAATTTCATCTAAGGAGCAGTTTTTCCAGACTTCTTCAGATGAAACAGAATTGGGGAAGCACTTCCTTTTTGGAATTTTTGGCTTGTTGATTCTCCCAGGAGACCTCTATCATTAAAACAAAAGAGCTTTAGTTTATTAACATTGTCAATGGTACATTTAAATATTAAGTGTTTTCTTTTCATCATAATTTGTCTGGTAAAAATTAAGACTTGAATAAACCAAAACATGATGAACTATGTAATAAATGGTGTTGGACTAACTAGATGAACATTTAAAAAAATAAAATTATATACTATCTTATTCAAGGATAAACCTTATATAGAGTAAAACATACACTGAGTAATACAATAAAAGCAGAGGAAAATTAAGATGAATATAACATAATACCTAATCTTTGTATAAGAAGTCCCTTCCAAGAGGTATGTTAAAGCCAGAAACCATTTAAAATAATCAATAGGTCTAACAACATAAATATTTAATTTTTGTTGGGTTAAAAAAACACACACAAATAATGAAAGAAAAACGAGGGGGAAAATTATTATTAATAAACATAATAAGTATAGGTTAATTTCCATAATATATGGGTAGCTCTAATGAATCAATAAGGCAAGTATAAATACCCAATAGAACAATAGACTAAGGTTATAAGTTAGTAATTCACATAAAAAGAACTAAGAAAACTCAACAAATATATGAAAAACTGCTCAAACTCATTGGTAATTTTTAAGGTCTAATTAAAAGAAGTTAACATTTTTTCCATTTGTCAAACAAGCAAGGATTAAAGGAAACTATAGTTTCCTATAGGAATCAGTTCTGGCTTACATAGAAAACCTGGTACTTGAATACTCTTAAATCCCCTTCTAGAACTTTACACTCACGGAATAAGAGGACCACTCAACATACATACAGATATTTTCTACACTGTTTTATAAAAGAAAAAAATAGAAACAATTTAAATGCTCATTAATAGAGGATTGGTTTTATATGGCTCACCAACCCTATGAAATACTACACAGACATTAAAAACAGAAGTGTCTGTCTAACTTAATGGATGTGGACAGTTTTCCTTGACAAATATTGTTTCATGATTGAAGACAGGACTACCATAATTTAATTTTCATTTTAACATTTATTTTGTATATTTGCTTTTCAATCCATCTGTCCATCTATCTACCCATTTATGCATCAGAAAAAATCTGGGAGTATATAATACACCAAAAAGAATAGAGCGCAGGATTCAGGAGGCAGGAATACAGGGAATTGTTATCTTGTGTTTTTGTCTTTTCTGTCCTTTGTTGTAACAAGCAGTCTAACTTTTATAATAAAAGAGAACAAAATAAATCTAAAATATAGCCATTTTCTTTCTCAAAGTCGACTGCAAAGAATCACAAATGGTTTCCCAGATTTATTTCCTAAAATGTCTGCAAATAAGCTTCACTCAAATTAAGCACACTTGCAAAGACTCAGCTGCACTTAACAAACCGCCAGTCATCTGGAATTCCATTGCCTACCTCAAAAAAGAACAAGAAAAAAGCCTCCCCAGTGGACCCTTCTGGCTACATAATAAAGTACAAAGCCAGTCCTTCAGAACTCAGTCTGGAAATCTGCGGCCTCAGTGGGGTCTCCGAAGAGGCTGTGAGAGCCTCAGGGACAGACAGAAGCCACAACACAGCCTCAGGGTCCGACTCGGTGGGGCAAGGGAGGTCTCCAGCCCTGGCTTGCAGACACTGTGTCCTAAGTGTCCTCCACTCTGACAGCAGTTCACAGGAACACACACAGCACATCTGGGGAGACCCACTCGTGTCCCACAAACAGCATGCCAGGCCCTGGAGGGCAGGGGTAGCTGAGGTGGGAAGCCTGCCCTTGGGCAGCTCTTTGGCCAGGCACCCCCGCAGCCATAGCTGCTACCAGGCTGCCACACAAGCATGCTGCATCGAGCAGCCCCTCTCTTGGTTACACCAGGCGTCAGTCTTCAGTGCTGCGTGGTGATTCCTGCCACCGCCCAATTGTCCCAGGACTTCCTCTGAAGGATCCCTGCTGATTTGAAATGGGGTGGAGAAGAAATCCAAAGCTTACGCTTCAGGGGGCACTTCGGTATGTCATAGATGCAGCAAAAGGAAATCCATCTCCCAATGTCATTTTTTCTTTTTCCCAAATAAATAGATGGTGCTTTTGATAAGCAAGATGATGATGGCTTATTATAACATGAACATAGTAACACTAGAACTAATGTAAAATTAATAGAAAATAAATATTTTTCTATATGGAAAAGTCAAACGTGACTGGTTGCTACAAATATGTAAAACAGATTCCCTTACAGAGATAAGAACAACATCAAACCTACAAACAGCTCTAGGTAATTAGTCCTTATATAACACATGTTCCCAAAAAATGAACATATATTAGCAAATTTTATCCTTATCATTCATAATTCATAGAAAATAGAAAAGCAGAAGTTCATATGAGAAACAGAAATGGGCAATTACGTGCCTACTTAAGAATGTGAAATTGTTGGAACAAATGCAAATAGGTGATAAACATTTTTAAATTACTGCTTTCTTAAGAATATCTTCTAAAATTTTTTAAACCATCATACAGAAAAATTATTAAAACACTAGTAAAAGTTTCACTCTAGAAAAACTAGAAATGGTATGGTATTGACTTAGCTGTCCAAGTGCTTCAAGACCACAGTGTCAAGGAAAGCATTTCTCCGCGGGAGTTCCGAAGGGTGTAAAGTTCAGAATCTTGGAAAAAGTATGAAGGTGCAGAATCCTGACTCTGGAAACAGACTGCCTGGATTCCATTACTGACCATGCAACTTTTGATTACTATCTTCGCAACCCTGTGCTTTCATTTCCCTGTTTGCTAAAAAGAGATGGCAAATAGTATCTCTGTCATGGAGTTGTTATGAGGATTTGATGGGATGACGAATCTGCATGCTGGCACTCGGTAGATACTCAATATATAGTAGCTACATATTGATTAATTAGAAATTTCTTAAGTGAAGGAGACATGGAACAAGAGTCTCAATAGAGTTAGACAAACTCACAAATTAGATGACAGACTCAGGAGCAAATTAGAAATAAAATCATTTTGGAAATGAAGGTTAAACTAAATGGAACACAGAACAAATAAACACAACATAACAGAATGTGAGAAAGAAAAAATTATATCAAGTAAGCAAAAAAGGAAGAAAGGAAAGAAGAAAGGAAGGAAAGGAAGTTGAAAAGAGAAGACAGGAAATAAAAAATCCAAGATACATGTGAAATAAATTGCTGAGAAGAAAACCAAACAAAGGAACTGAAGATACTAAAAATTGCAATTCAAAAAGTTTTCTTGAAATAAAAGACTCAAATCTGCAAATTCAAATAGTATGCAAATACTCAGGATATCAATCATGTGGGTCTAACATCATGGCATATTCTAGCAAAATTACTAGGTTTGAAATAAAAAGAAAAAACGTTCTCTGGATATTCAGGCAAAAAGATCAAGTCACTAATAAGAGAAATAAAATCAGATTGTTACCAAACTTCTCCTCAGCAAAACTTCATGTCACCAGGTAATGATGGGTAAAGATATTTAAGATATTTAAGGAAAGAAAATCTGAGCCAAGGGCTTTATATAGAGACAAATTAATTTTTTAACTGTATAGGCCACATTCAAACCATCACAAACATGTAAGAAATCAGAGAACATTGTTTCCATGAACACTTCCTAAACAATCTACTAGAGACCAAGCCTCAAATAACCAAAATAACTACAGAGACAAACAAAAAAAGAAGTGAAGAGATATGATAAAGATGTTCACTTGTAATGTAGCAATCTTATGAAAGCTGGGTCAGTGAGACAAGAAGACCTACTTTTTAATTATTTATGCAGAAAGAAGTCAGAAGGTAAGTCAAAACCCAAAAAGACCTTTGAACTGCTCCATATAATACCACTGTCTTGTTTGATAGATACCTTGAGCAACCTGTCTCTGGACTCCTTGGCTTTTCCCAAAACAAGTTACTAAGGTGAGGATTCAAATCAGTCAACCCATGGTCCAAATAAAATAATTTCCATTATAATCCAAGCCAGCAAGGATTATGTGCTGACACTCTTAAGATTTGCATTTTGGGGCTGAGGATTTTGAACTGACAGGATGGCTGTGGGGACAATGAACAGATGGTATCAGTGATTCATTCTTTTCCACTACACACTAAAAAACAGGCCTCTGTTTTGACAGCCTCTGTGTAGAGCTTTAATATGAGGCGGCCCATAGCCATAAACTACTATATCTCTAATTTGGAACATCTGCAGAATTTTGCCTTCTAACTTAAAGATTTGAATTTCAATTTTGAAAGTTATGCAATAAGTATTCGATGAGAAGATTGACATGGATAATATTTTATTTTAATATGATCTCTGTGACAGATCATAGAAGACAGATTGGAATAGGCCATGCTTTACGCAAGGACACCAGTCAGGAGGCAGCGATGAGAACCTGAGCTAACACTGAAGGAACAGCAATACACAGAAGAATAACTAGAGACAGATCCACACTGAATCAAACAAAAATGTTCTCATGTGAGATACATCACTATTTTATGATCCCCGATAAAGAAAATATGTGTCCAATTACTGATAACAAAATGGGAAAAATAAGATTTCCTTGGTGAATTGAAATTGTGTTATGGAACTTACCTTCTTATAATACCTAATGAAATAAGTAAAAGAAAAAACTAGTAAAAGTTATCAAAAAAATTACCAGCATAAACTGAAGCAAAAAGCAACTCAATATGAGCAGCCAGAGAGTTTTGCTTCCAATTATGGTGGGTTAGCTCACACTGAACCAACCCTTCTAGCAGATAACAATTGTAAACTCTGGCCAAAATATAAACAAAACTATCCGAAGGCACTGGAGAGCAAATGACATAACCTGGAATCAACAGTTGGAAAAATGGAATAACATTCCATGAGTTTCTTGTTATTTGGCTTTCTGCCTGAGGGCACGTCTTAGCTGAAACCATGCCAAGTGGCTAGAATTTAGATATAAATCCAAGGTATTAGTGGCATTAGGAATCAGAAAACAGAATTCAGGACTACACAGCAGCTGCAAAGTAAGAGAGGGGGGAGCCCAGAAAGAAAGACATAGAGAAATATTTCCCAAGTCTGTGCGTAACCTCTGCCAGATCTCTGGCTAACTCTTGAATTACCAATGTGCGGAGGAGACAAGACGTCCAGGAAAATAGCAGAACAAACATTTCAAGTGTGAAACTCCTCAGGTATGATACAGATTAGAGTTTGAGTACAGCCTGGCTGCTAAAATAAAACTTAAATTCTTCAGAGGAATACAACAGCATCCATAGTCTTTACGATGCAAAATTTACATATTCAGGATACATTCCAAAATTACTAGACATAGAAAAAGAACCACTAACAACAGGAAACTGTGATTCATATTCAAGAAAAAAGGTAATCAATAGAGATGAGATTCTGAGATGAGCTAAATGTTGGAACTAGCAGATAAAAATTTTAAAGCATTTAAAGTTTCTAAATTTTAAAATAGCAGTGTTTGAGAATGTAGAGGAAAACATTCTTCTTGAGTGCACAGACAGGAAATCTCAGCAGAACAGTAGATGCTCTAGTGACGTATTCTATGTTGATATGACCAAAGGCCCAGAAGGGAGACTCTCCAATGGCACTCCTCGTCGTGGATCCTCAAGGAACTGGACCCTGGTCTCTCCCAAACTGTCCACCCGCTCAGCAACCCTGGGGATTACACTGGCGAGGCTAGGGTAAACACTAACAGCACAAGGAGAATTCTGCCTTTTCAAGTTAATATGCCTGCAGATGCCTGGCTGTACATGTCTAATATAACTGCATAAACTACTCAACTATCTGCCCTTTTATATTAAGATTTTTCCCATCAGTAAAGGAATAACATGTTCATTATAAAAATCTTTGAAAATACAGAAGCAGCAGAAAGAACCAAACAATACCCAGAGACACATCACTTAAAGACAATTTGTATTTAGAATTTCTTTCCAATCATTTAGTGATAGTCCACACACATTTCCCACGCTGTCCTTCACTTGGGGAAAATCATTGCTCATGGCCGCACATTTTACCAGGTGGATGTGCTGTGACTCACTTAACCCTGTTTCTGTTGTTAGACGTTTATGTTATTCTTATAAATAATGATACCAGGACTATCTTTGTAGATAATGCATTTTCCATATTTGAAAGCATTTCCTCAGGATAGATTCATAGAAGAGGAATTAGCATGCCAAAGGATACTGAAATTGTTAACTATATACTTTAAAAATACTTACCTTGATTTTCCATATAATATCTAAGATTCAAGTCATTATTTATACTGAGGTTCTTCAAAAAAACATTATAATCCACTGCAGTATCTTTATCAATGTTATAGTGTTTTGCAAACCTAAAATAGAAATATTCTTTAGAATTCAGAAATTATAATACAGAAAATCTAAAATGAAGCATGTTTGTTACTAAGGTACCCTTTACACGCGGGTTGGTATTAATTTGAACCTGTGTTTCTACCAAAAGCTGGAATGAAAAGGTAAACCCTAGGAAATGTCACCGTAAGATTTAAAAAATGCAGATTCTTTGAAGGAGATCATTTTACTTGGCTTCCTGATGGATGCATATGGATTCAAATGGGACAGGAACATCTTAGGACCTGAGAGAATGCTACTGCCTGCAATAAAGATCTTCTCTGGCAGGAAGAGGGGGTGACCAGGACTTGGGCTGCATGGGAGCCATTTCTGGAAAAGCAAGTCCCACTTCCCTTTAACAACTGGGAGGAATGGATCTGGAGCTTGAGTCGGTCAGAGCAGCATTTCTCAAACCAGAGAAGGCGGGAGCTAGATGGAGGGGAGAATACAGAGAATACAGCCCAAGTTCTTGATCAGGCATACAACTTCACAGAGAGGAACTACGGCTTAAGAAGGTGTGCTGTTTCAAAGCAGTTAGTGGTGTTGGGGGCAAAGCTTTTCTTGGAGCATTCTATGATTATATATAAAAACAAAATTTTAGAACACTCAACCAGTGTCTCTCCCTGAAATATACTGAGATATTCTTTTTTTAAGATAAATAGGATGTTTGGATTTTTTTCTTTTGAAAATGAATTTTCTATTATTCAAATCTGCCACTTGATAAATGGTTTTCTAGATAATTTCTGCATTATTACATTTATAAAAAATTGACAGTTTTAAATGTTTGGTTATATTATCTCCGTATGTGTTGGTTTCTATAATTACCTAATTTCATGCTGCTTTCTAAAAATTTAGTGATTATCACTTTAAAGTATTTGTTATTTTTCTGTTTTCCAAATTTAACAAAGAATAATGTCATGTACTCATTTCAATGCATATCTTTTTTTCCACTTTGTTAAATCTTGCCTTTTGTTCTAATAAGAAAAATTATCCTGAGATATGATAGCTGCCAGATGTTAACACTGCAGTTCCCTAAATAGCTCTATGGTCTCTGTCTTGTGAAAATAAGGCTGTCAGCTCCAGAACCCAGAAGGTGGTCCCCAACATGCTCCTCTCTGAGCTGCCACCATGCAGGAAGTGTTCGCTACTCTGCTGCTGCAGGAAAATCTTGGGATGCTGACAAAAATCTCATCACCAACTTCCCACTTTTCTGCAAAAATCCAGTATTTCTTCAAACTTGTATTTGCTCATGAGAGAATCCTGGCCTTTCCTAATGCTCAGCCACATTCATAATACCTGCTGCATATTCACTGAGGACAGACAGACAGAATCTGGTAGTAATATTTCCTACAGATAAAGTTTCACAATTGAAGCCTCTGTACTGCCCAAGAATGCAGTATCTCAAAAGGCTTTTTTACAAGAATAAAGGTATGGGAGACAGAACCATTCCTAATATGAAGCAACCACTGCCATTTTCCCAGGGACCTGAGCCCTGGGTGGGAGAACTCCTGTGTCTGCAGAGAGTTATGGTGGTCAGGCAAACGGGTCATGTGGGAAGATGAGGCCAGTGATGCCACCTGACCCAGAAACCTCTGAGGCATCATCCGTGGAACTGTGCCCTGGGCTTCATTTATCTGCTCAGGCAGCAGGCTGCCCTCCAGTGAGTTTGTTTTGTTTTTCAGGCTGCTCATAAATTATTCTACCTGGACTCAAATACTTCAGCCTGCAGGGCAATGGAGGGTAGGGTGGTGTGGAATGAGAAAGGAAAAACAGAACTCAATGGGTCTTGGGATGGTCTGAGCAACTAAAAAACTGGTGACAATTTCCTCTCTCGCCTCTTATATAGGCTGGATGGTAGTCTGCAGCCTAAGGAGAACTGTTTTTCAAAAAGTAAAGGGGATTTCATGGAATCTTTACAATTGCGATGGAGACATTGGAACAAGCACATACTACGTGCCAGTCACATCCCAGGCCCACCTCACACACTACATGGAATCTTCACACCAGCCCTGCAAGGAGTGGGGGTGGTCCCTCGGCCTTCGGCTTTAAGAGAAGGCTGAGTCTCAGTGAGGCCCAGGAGCTTCCCAAAGCCCTAGATCCAGCGAGGGCCGAGCGCAGACCAGACCTCAGCGCTCCTGACTTCAAAGCCCGGGCCATTCTTACATGCTGGGTGTAGAAGGAGGGTATTAAATAGAAAGCTGTTAGATAAAAGAAAGGATTCAAAAATACATTGTGTTTCCTGCTCAAAAACTAGAAAGGCAAAATTAATACTGAAGCAGCGTCTCAAGGAAAGAGCATATTCTTGAGCTTCAATAAGAAAAGCATTAAAGCAATTGAAGAAAGGGTCTATTTTTGATCTTCCGCCTTTCTATTCTAAAGGAAAGCAATTCCATTATGTTAAGTTTCTCAAGCCGTATCATGAAAACAGCATTGTTTTTGAGGCTTAAAAAATTTCTCAAATAAAAATTTGTGGAGTTCTTTATTATTCAATACTTACGAGATGTAGAAACAGACAGTAACATTTTTTATAGATTTACTAGGTTGGAGACTGCAGTGCCAAACACAAGGTTTATTGTCAAATAAAACACTGTTTTGTTTTTTGATTGCCTGTTTTAGAAGAGTGTTGCTTCTGTTCTATAATTGCCTGCACAAAATTATTTAATTTGTTTTGTTTGGATCTTATCCTGGACACTTTCCCAGTCGGAAAGATGTAAAAATTAAAACATCTATTATGTCTTTTATATTTTGAGGTGGGTTATAAAGAGAAAAAAGAAGAAAATATTTAAAAGACTAGGAAATATCCATCTTTTAAAAGTCACCTTGCTTTTCAGACCCTGCAGTGCCCATGACGCTGTCACAAGCCCTCTAGACTTCCTTGCTTGCTATGGAGAAAACTCCTCTGCTCCTGACAGAAGGAACATAGTCTTTATGATACCATATAAGTAACCCCAGCGACCCATTTTAATGGCGATTTGTAACTGCAGCATAATGTGGAACTCTTGGGCTCAGCGTAAAATAATAAGGCTTGGTACTTTTGTTAATGGCCTGGAGGATATTCAGAGAAGTGGGAGAAGGCACGGAGAGGAAGAGTACCTCTTGGCTGAGTACTACATAAGTTAGGTTAAATATGGGTCTCCCTTCTAGTGATCTGCACTCAAAACTCAGGCGGCCACAGAAGCCAGGCTTCTAATGATCTAGAGTTTATTGGAGGCTCAAAAAACACCCATGCAGGCTTCCACAGACTGCCCTCGAGTGAGGAGCAGGTGGCGGTAGCTTTCAAATGCCATGAAGCAGCTAAACATCCAGTTTTTCACTGTCCCCCTGCTGCAATGCACCCCCAATCTCAGCAACAACAGTCCTCAAAGGAAAGTTAAGTAAGTTTCTGCTACTACAACAGGATGGAGGGCCAACAGGGAGCACACCGACTAATGAATAAATCCAGAAAGTTCTCATTCTCCTAACCCCGGGCTTTTGAGGAAAAGTCAACTGTGAACTGGAAACACATGGGATGGCGGGCATGGTGCCAACCAGGAGAAGCGAGACAACTGGTGATGGATTACTTAAATAACTGAGACGTGTGCAAGTCTGCAGGCCAGATGACTCTCACCCCAGGGCGCTTAAGGAATTAGAAGCATTAGCTCTCGCTTTTGAGAATCATGGAGAGCTTCCCTAACATGGGAGAAATGCCGAATGAGTGACTCTTTTAAAAATAGTCAAGAAGAGAAGGCAGAAGGGAGGATGATGCCTGGATTGTCCTGGTTTGAAATGGGTTTGAAGGTCTACCGTGCAATCTCTCACCATACGTTCATTTACTTGCTTTTTGTATTCATCATCCTTCATCTTCACACAGAAGGTTTCCAGAACCCTCCTCAGCTCACATGGTTGGACCAGACCAGTCTTGTTAACATCAACGAGTTTAAAGGCTTTGATAACAGTTTTAATGTTTTTGAAAATCTGTGTATGAAAAATGATTTAGGAGAAGTCAAAAGATCCAGTGTTAGAAACCAAAGTGGTAATAAAATATGTAAATGTTTTTAAATACTTCTTATAAAATAAAATGCTTTCAAAGACTCTCAGTCATGGGTATTGCAAAATGACATGTCTGTGGAAAAAAGAACACAGCTCTTATTGAATGTTTTCAAGGCAATTTTCTCTGTAAATGGTCTTAGTAAGTTTAGAAAAATCTCTTTCTGATGTAAAGCAATAAGTCTCACACACAATTTATTCCCTTTTAGAACCATACAAAAAATCTTTTTTCGTTAATTGACACTTTAAAACTGTAGTTCTGGCATGGCTGGACTTGTACAATTTTTATTTTTCATAGCCATATGCAAACTATTTTTACTGGAACTGAAAAATATGACTGTATATTTCAACCCCTCTGAATTTTTAAAATATATTACAGAAAAGTTTTATAGAGCTCTTTCCCAAATTCAGCAAATGCTTATTCATAGGACACACAGACATGAAAGGCGTTTGGGTAGGTCCTGTGGGGATGCAGGGGGCACTGAGCTCTGTGCTCACCCGTAAGGTACTTATATTCAGAGGAAAGAAACATGTCCTGGGACTCTTGTGTGCCAAGCACAGAGCTGCATGATTGAAACCTCCAGGCCCATAGGAAGGAAGTACCATTTCCCCATGTTTAGATACAACTGAGGTTCAGGGAGGCGAGATGAGTTACCCTGCATCGCCTGGCTTGAGGACACTGCTAGGACCCAAACTGACATCAACCCTCTAACCACTGCCCCACGGAGAAGGTGAGGCTAGAAATCAGCATTCACCAAAGCAGGGCCGAGCCAACAAGAGCCGAATAACAGAGATGGACGAAGAGCAGCAGGCCTTCACCAAAGAAAACACACACTTCCGGCCCCACCATCTGGGGGACGTCATGCGGGAGGCGGCATCTGAGCTGGAGATGGCGGTTTGAGCAGGACAGGTGGGCATTCTGCAGGCAGGTGTGAAGGCCACAGAAGGGATTGTGGCCGAGCAGTGAGAAAGGCCCTAGGCAGCTGGATCCTGGAGGGCGTGAGTCCACTGTCCTGCTCTGGATCACGTCCAAGCAGAGCCTGGATTCTGAGGAAAATCAGTGAGTGCCCCTCAAAGAAGGAGTTTCGGGAAGACTCTGAGATACAGGCTGGCCCTCATTTTATCGACATGCCCTGTCTCCTCAGCACTTCCTCTGCCAGCTGCCTTCACTGTCTCAGGCCGACTGGAACCCACTTGATCTCACAGCCCTTTCCTTCAGTGGCGCTGGGCAGATGGCCACTGCCCCTCCCTTTCCCTGACTCCTCAGATCTGCTGGTGCCACCCCTCCTAGCTGGACAGTCAGGACATCCACCGGAGGCCCCCAGGCCTGGGGGATGCAGCCCTGGCCCGCAGCCTGCCTCCAGCTGCAGCAGTGGTGCCCACGCGCACGCTCCGTCTCTCGGTTCCTGGACCTCCCACCCTTGTGGGTCATGGCTCCAGGCTCAAGCTGCACCTTGTGTTCCCAATAACTACCTTTCTCCAAAACCAAGCCCCGTGCTTCAGAACTCCCTGTGGCCAGCTCCTGGGCACGCCCCTCCACCTCCCCACCACCCTCCTCCCCGGGTCCCTCTCTATCACCATCCCTGGCCCTGTGCTCAGCTCCCCTTCCCACCTCCTCCACACCACCTCACCACAGACAGGCAAGCCCTGAACCCTGGTTAAACCCAACTCACCACCTGTGCCAAGTGCCTGATGTGTCTGGAGAGTACAGATCGTTGAGCCCTAAGCTGGGTCCCTCACTTGAGACCACTGTCCTGCCAGCAGGGTGCTGTGAGGTGACTGTTCTCACCACCCTCGCCCAGGCAGCCCTGCTCTCTCTACTCTCCTGACCTCGCTCCCCGACATCTCCATCTGCTTGACTCCAAGTCCATGTGAGGGCCTCCTCCCTGTCCTCCATGACCTGTCCCCTCATTCTTAGGCTGTCCCCATTACGGGGAGCCACCCCAGAGATGAGATCTCCCTCCCTGCCCCTCTCTTCCTGCCGCCACTCTTCCCTCTTACAGGCACCGCCCCCTACCCCAAGTGCTGTCTGTGTCCCCAGCTCCAGTGTGCCCTCCATGCCCCCAGCAGTTTTGTGCCCCGCCCACACACACTTTCTTGTCCAGTGACCAAAGACCGCCTGGCCACATGCAGTGGCTGCTCCCAGTCCCCAGCTCCCTCAGCAGCTCCTCCTTCCAGAGGCCCATTTCCTACCTGGCCCTTACGTCCCACTCTCCGGGCTGTCCTCTGCCCTCTGGCTTCCTCTGGGCACTGCCTGGCTCCTCCTCAGCTCTCAACCTTTCAGCTGGGGCACCTTTAGACTCCTCTTATATAGGCTGGATGGTAGTCTGCAGCCTAAGGAGAACTGTTTTTCAAAAAGTAAAGGGGATTTCATGGAATCTTTACAATTGCGATGGAGACATTGGAACAAGCACATACTACGTGCCAGTCACATCCCAGGCCCACCTCACACACTACATGGAATCTTCACACCAGCCCTGCAAGGAGTGGAGGTGGTCCCTCGGCCTTCGGCTTTAAGAGAAGGCTGAGTCTCAGTGAGGCCCAGGAGCTTCCCAAAGCCCTAGATCCAGCGAGGGCCGAGCGCAGACCAGACCTCAGCGCTCCTGACTTCAAAGCCCGGGCCATTCTTACATGCTGGGTGTAGAAGGAGGGTATTAAATAGAAAGCTGTTAGATAAAAGAAAGGATTCAAAAATACATTGTGTTTCCTGCTCAAAAACTAGAAAGGCAAAATTAATACTGAAGCAGCGTCTCAAGGAAAGAGCATATTCTTGAGCTTCAATAAGAAAAGCATTAAAGCAATTGAAGAAAGGGTCTATTTTTGATCTTCCGCCTTTCTATTCTAAAGGAAAGCAATTCCATTATGTTAAGTTTCTCAAGCCGTATCATGAAAACAGCATTGTTTTTGAGGCTTAAAAAATTTCTCAAATAAAAATTTGTGGAGTTCTTTATTATTCAATACTTACGAGATGTAGAAACAGACAGTAACATTTTTTATAGATTTACTAGGTTGGAGACTGCAGTGCCAAACACAAGGTTTATTGTCAAATAAAACACTGTTTTGTTTTTTGATTGCCTGTTTTAGAAGAGTGTTGCTTCTGTTCTATAATTGCCTGCACAAAATTATTTAATTTGTTTTGTTTGGATCTTATCCTGGACACTTTCCCAGTCGGAAAGATGTAAAAATTAAAACATCTATTATGTCTTTTATATTTTGAGGTGGGTTATAAAGAGAAAAAAGAAGAAAATATTCGAAAGACTAGGAAATATCCATCTTTTAAAAGTCGCCTTGCTTTTCAGACCCTGCAGTGCCCATGACGCTGTCACAAGCCCTCTAGACTTCCTTGCTTGCTATGGAGAAAACTCCTCTGCTCCTGACAGAAGGAACATAGTCTTTATGATACCATATAAGTAACCCCAGCGACCCATTTTAATGGCGATTTGTAACTGCAGCATAATGTGGAACTCTTGGGCTCAGCGTAAAATAATAAGGCTTGGTACTTTTGTTAATGGCCTGGAGGATATTCAGAGAAGTGGGAGAAGGCACGGAGAGGAAGAGTACCTCTTGGCTGAGTACTACATAAGTTAGGTTAAATATGGGTCTCCCTTCTAGTGATCTGCACTCAAAACTCAGGCGGCCACAGAAGCCAGGCTTCTAATGATCTAGAGTTTATTGGAGGCTCAAAAAACACCCATGCAGGCTTCCACAGACTGCCCTCGAGTGAGGAGCAGGTGGCGGTAGCTTTCAAATGCCATGAAGCAGCTAAACATCCAGTTTTTCACTGTCCCCCTGCTGCAATGCACCCCCAATCTCAGCAACAACAGTCCTCAAAGGAAAGTTAAGTAAGTTTCTGCTACTACAACAGGATGGAGGGCCAACAGGGAGCACACCGACTAATGAATAAATCCAGAAAGTTCTCATTCTCCTAACCCCGGGCTTTTGAGGAAAAGTCAACTGTGAACTGGAAACACATGGGATGGCGGGCATGGTGCCAACCAGGAGAAGCGAGACAACTGGTGATGGATTACTTAAATAACTGAGACGTGTGCAAGTCTGCAGGCCAGATGACTCTCACCCCAGGGCGCTTAAGGAATTAGAAGCATTAGCTCTCGCTTTTGAGAATCATGGAGAGCTTCCCTAACATGGGAGAAATGCCGAATGAGTGACTCTTTTAAAAATAGTCAAGAAGAGAAGGCAGAAGGGAGGATGATGCCTGGATTGTCCTGGTTTGAAATGGGTTTGAAGGTCTACCGTGCAATCTCTCACCATACGTTCATTTACTTGCTTTTTGTATTCATCATCCTTCATCTTCACACAGAAGGTTTCCAGAACCCTCCTCAGCTCACATGGTTGGACCAGACCAGTCTTGTTAACATCAACGAGTTTAAAGGCTTTGATAACAGTTTTAATGTTTTTGAAAATCTGTGTATGAAAAATGATTTAGGAGAAGTCAAAAGATCCAGTGTTAGAAACCAAAGTGGTAATAAAATATGTAAATGTTTTTAAATACTTCTTATAAAATAAAATGCTTTCAAAGACTCTCAGTCATGGGTATTGCAAAATGACATGTCTGTGGAAAAAAGAACACAGCTCTTATTGAATGTTTTCAAGGCAATTTTCTCTGTAAATGGTCTTAGTAAGTTTAGAAAAATCTCTTTCTGATGTAAAGCAATAAGTCTCACACACAATTTATTCCCTTTTAGAACCATACAAAAAATCTTTTTTCGTTAATTGACACTTTAAAACTGTAGTTCTGGCATGGCTGGACTTGTACAATTTTTATTTTTCATAGCCATATGCAAACTATTTTTACTGGAACTGAAAAATATGACTGTATATTTCAACCCCTCTGAATTTTTAAAATATATTACAGAAAAGTTTTATAGAGCTCTTTCCCAAATTCAGCAAATGCTTATTCATAGGACACACAGACATGAAAGGCGTTTGGGTAGGTCCTGTGGGGATGCAGGGGGCACTGAGCTCTGTGCTCACCCGTAAGGTACTTATATTCAGAGGAAAGAAACATGTCCTGGGACTCTTGTGTGCCAAGCACAGAGCTGCATGATTGAAACCTCCAGGCCCATAGGAAGGAAGTACCATTTCCCCATGTTTAGATACAACTGAGGTTCAGGGAGGCGAGATGAGTTACCCTGCATCGCCTGGCTTGAGGACACTGCTAGGACCCAAACTGACATCAACCCTCTAACCACTGCCCCACGGAGAAGGTGAGGCTAGAAATCAGCATTCACCAAAGCAGGGCCGAGCCAACAAGAGCCGAATAACAGAGATGGACGAAGAGCAGCAGGCCTTCACCAAAGAAAACACACACTTCCGGCCCCACCATCTGGGGGACGTCATGCGGGAGGCGGCATCTGAGCTGGAGATGGCGGTTTGAGCAGGACAGGTGGGCATTCTGCAGGCAGGTGTGAAGGCCACAGAAGGGATTGTGGCCGAGCAGTGAGAAAGGCCCTAGGCAGCTGGATCCTGGAGGGCGTGAGTCCACTGTCCTGCTCTGGATCACGTCCAAGCAGAGCCTGGATTCTGAGGAAAATCAGTGAGTGCCCCTCAAAGAAGGAGTTTCGGGAAGACTCTGAGATACAGGCTGGCCCTCATTTTATCGACATGCCCTGTCTCCTCAGCACTTCCTCTGCCAGCTGCCTTCACTGTCTCAGGCCGACTGGAACCCACTTGATCTCACAGCCCTTTCCTTCAGTGGCGCTGGGCAGATGGCCACTGCCCCTCCCTTTCCCTGACTCCTCAGATCTGCTGGTGCCACCCCTCCTAGCTGGACAGTCAGGACATCCACCGGAGGCCCCCAGGCCTGGGGGATGCAGCCCTGGCCCGCAGCCTGCCTCCAGCTGCAGCAGTGGTGCCCACGCGCACGCTCCGTCTCTCGGTTCCTGGACCTCCCACCCTTGTGGGTCATGGCTCCAGGCTCAAGCTGCACCTTGTGTTCCCAATAACTACCTTTCTCCAAAACCAAGCCCCGTGCTTCAGAACTCCCTGTGGCCAGCTCCTGGGCACGCCCCTCCACCTCCCCACCACCCTCCTCCCCGGGTCCCTCTCTATCACCATCCCTGGCCCTGTGCTCAGCTCCCCTTCCCACCTCCTCCACACCACCTCACCACAGACAGGCAAGCCCTGAACCCTGGTTAAACCCAACTCACCACCTGTGCCAAGTGCCTGATGTGTCTGGAGAGTACAGATCGTTGAGCCCTAAGCTGGGTCCCTCACTTGAGACCACTGTCCTGCCAGCAGGGTGCTGTGAGGTGACTGTTCTCACCACCCTCGCCCAGGCAGCCCTGCTCTCTCTACTCTCCTGACCTCGCTCCCCGACATCTCCATCTGCTTGACTCCAAGTCCATGTGAGGGCCTCCTCCCTGTCCTCCATGACCTGTCCCCTCATTCTTAGGCTGTCCCCATTACGGGGAGCCACCCCAGAGATGAGATCTCCCTCCCTGCCCCTCTCTTCCTGCCGCCACTCTTCCCTCTTACAGGCACCGCCCCCTACCCCAAGTGCTGTCTGTGTCCCCAGCTCCAGTGTGCCCTCCATGCCCCCAGCAGTTTTGTGCCCCGCCCACACACACTTTCTTGTCCAGTGACCAAAGACCGCCTGGCCACATGCAGTGGCTGCTCCCAGTCCCCAGCTCCCTCAGCAGCTCCTCCTTCCAGAGGCCCATTTCCTACCTGGCCCTTACGTCCCACTCTCCGGGCTGTCCTCTGCCCTCTGGCTTCCTCTGGGCACTGCCTGGCTCCTCCTCAGCTCTCAACCTTTCAGCTGGGGCACCTTTAGACTCAGTCCTGGGGTCTCTGCCTTTCTGACCACACTTGCTCCCAGTGGTCCAGTCCTGTGCTGTCAATGAGCAGCTGATGATTCTCGAATGTCTGTGCCCAGCCCCGGCCTCTTCTCTGAGCTTCTGCCTAGCTGACGCCCACCTGGAGGGCCTAACAGACACCCGACCTGCCCCTCCCACAGGCCCCCCATCCCTTCCCATGGTAGATCCTTTCTGCCACATTGTCTTTCACAACAGCCTGGCAGCCCTCCCTTCCAACGTCTCCAGACTCCTGCTGGTGTCTGGACCCCACAGGCTGGTGCGACAGCTTCCCATTTGGTCTTCCAGTGTCCACACTTGACCCCATACTCTTCCTCCACATGCAGCCAGGGCATTCTGTTTAGATGTAAGTCTGAGCACGCGTCTCTCTACTCACAGTTCTCCCACAGCTCACAGAGTTAAAGACCATGTCCAGCCATGGCCAGGTCCACAGACTGGCTCCAGACAGCCCTCCCACCTCATCTACCCACTCGTCCGGCCCAATGCTTCCCGACCATGCCAGACTCTCCGCTGCTCCTCGGGAGCGCCAGGCTCCTCCGGCCTCCGGGCATCTGCATGTGCTGTTCCCTCTGCCAGAGCACTCCTCCCCCCTGGCTCTCTCCTCACTCCATCCAGATTTGGGCCCACGTGTCATCTTACAAGGAAGGCCTTCCTTGACCACGGGTCTAACTTAACCTTGTGTTTATTGCCTGTCTCCTCCTCTGATGTGTCAGCCCCGAGGGCAGGGTTCTGTCCAGTGCTTTGCCCTGGGTCTAGAACAGCATCTGGCAGAGTGTCTGTGTTCAGTGTTTGTTTGGATGAATGAATGCTGCCATCTTCTTGTCACCTGCTTAGAAAAAAGCCACACTTGGAGGAGGTTTTGTTATATGTCTGCAATACCTCCCCAGGGCCAGTCCTGAATGTAATAATGACTACACTCAGTATCAAGGTAATAAAGATTACAATAATATAATTGAACAAATATTAATTGAATGTCTTCTATGTACAAAGCCTCATGCTAAATTCTACACACATCTCTCACTTCTGACAACTAGAGAACATTGGCTAGAATGATCTTAAGAGCTGAAACTGGGAATACCAGCCGAGGAAGGTGGGAACCGCCGCAGCTGGAATGAAAACTGCTCGTGGGTGTCCACCCGCAGCCTGATCACTTTGTCTGAAAGAACGGAGCCCATCACAGAGAGAACTTGCTCCCATGGCCAAATAAAAATCTCAGCTCTCTGCCTGCTGCCAAATCCCGATTCACCTCTTCTGGTAAAACGGAGGACATGAGGCGATGTGCTTTTTTAAAACCCTGAAGCAGCCCATATGGACCTCCCGTGTGGAAAGCCAGGAAGCAGCGAGTCTGGCACAGATCTCACACCCACCAGAGGTATGTCTCCAAGTTTCTTATCATTTGTCAGACTGAAGTTTGGCAAGATCTGAACTGAGCTGCAGATGGTGAGGCTTATCAAAGGCAACTGAGGGCCCTGGTTACAAGGCTTGTCCCATACATGATAGGAAAGAAGAAAAAAGTACAAAGGAATAAAATGGCTGGGGACATAATGGTCACCGCACCCTGCTCCACCTCGTCTCCTGGCTCCTCTGAAGAGGCAGCAGAGGAAAAGCTAAGGAGGGGAGGACTGTGATCATGCTCAACTCCAGGCCAGCCAGACATCGGCCATCTCGGTGTGACCGGGTCGAGTCTGCATCAGGAGCCAGCTGTCTCTGAGCCTCCTGCTCTCTGGGCTCCCCGGCCACTCCGGGGCTCCGCTGCACCCTCCCCGCCAGTCCTGGCTTCCAGTCTGCTGAGCTACCCACACCCACAGCACACAGGCCCCCTTCCCGCATGCTGACAAGTCCTCCCCAGGATTTCTCATGCGTGCAGGGCAGCTTGATCACAGTGTTCATGGGATGAAGCTTTAGTGAGCAAGGAAGGCCTTGCACAGACATGATGGGTGCCTGTGAAAAGGGTAGACAGACAGAGATCTGCTCTGCATCTTGCCGGGGAGGGGAACCGGGAACTGGACAGAGACAGCAGAGCAGGGGCACAGACCAGGCAGCCTGGGTGCCTACTGCTGGCAGGAACAGCCCATGGAAATTTCCACGGGCTAAGTGGCAAGGAAGGAAAGGTAGAAAGCTGGAGCTAACCCGCTCCCAAGAGCTGCTCGGCAGATGCGGGGATCAAGCAACCCGAGGGCACCAGGTGGACACTGGAGCAGAGCTGAGGAGGTCCACAGCGGCTCAGGCCGGAGCTGAGGTGCCTCACAGGAAACCACGTGATTCAGAGGTCACACAATGCACTGTCCTCATGACTCCCATCTGCCCTCAGAGAGAGCCGCCCTTCCGCGCTGCCCGCAGAGGACACCAGTCAAGAGTTGGGAGACACGATCCCTTTCCTCGGCCCTCATCACAGATGGTGAGGGGGACAAGGGAAGCCGAGAGGGGAGGGGAGGGACCTGTGAGCACGCAGGGCATGCCCCTCATGCTGCACATTACCCCAGTGGGAGGGAGCGGAGGAGAGGGCCAGCCGAGCTGGAGGTGAGCTTGAGGCTTAAACTGGCCTAGCCTGCGCTGTTTATCACTAAATGTGGCCAGAAAGCTCTGAGA